TGGGGTGCCAGGGGTAAATGAAAATGGGGAGCCTTTAATTGAGCTGTGTGTATAAAAAGGTTTGGTAATAAGTAATACATATTTTATGAAAAAGAGGATAAATAAGTATATAAGGTATGATACAGCACGTAATGATAGTAGTTTGTTAGATTATGTATTGGTGGATAAGAGGTTGATGGGTAGGCTTCAGGATATATCAGATCAATATTTAGTTGTAGCTACAGTTAGAGTAAGAGGTAGATGGGACAAAAGGAAAAGAGCAATAACAATTAAGAGAGAGTTGAAAGTGTATAAACTAAGGGAGGAGGAAGTTAGGGTAAGAAATAAGCAACTATTGGCAGAAATTTGGGCTAGTGCAAGTATGAGTAGTGGGGGGGTTGAAGAGGGTTGGAATAGTTTTAAAAATGCAGTATTAGAATGTGGGGCAGGAGTTTGTGGCTATAGGAGGGTGGGTGCAGAAGGAATGATAAAGTAAAGGGTGTGATAAAAGAGAAAAAGGTAGCTTATGAGAGGTTCTTACAAATCAGAAGTGTTATAAGAAGAGCAGAGTATATGGAGAGTAAAAGAAAGGTGAAGAGAGTGGTGAGAGTGTGCAAAAAGGGAGCAGATGATAAGAGTGGGAGAGGTACTGTCAAGAAATTTTGATGAAAATAAGAAAAAAATTTGGAGATAAATAAGTTAAGAAAGCCTAGAGAACGAATGGATTTGTCAGTTAAAATCAGAGTAGGGGAGTTAGTAGATGGGAGCTGGAAGTATTGGGTAGATGGCAGGAATATTTTGAGAAACTTTTAAATGTCGATGAAGAAAGGAAGGCGGTAATTTCATGCACTGGCCAGGGAGGTGTAACATCTTTTAGGAGTGAAGAGCAGGATGTGAGTGTAAGGGAGGTGCATGTGGCATTACATAGAACGAAAGGGGGTAAAGCAGCTGGAACTGATGGGATCATGACAGAGATGTTAAAAGCAGGGGGGGTATAGTGTTGGAGTGGTTGGTGTTTTTGTTTAATAAATGTATGAAAGAGAGGAAGGTACCTAGGGATTGGTAGAAAGCATGTATAGTTTATAAGTTTACCGAGTATACCATGAAAAGTGTACGGTAGGGTTATTATTGAAAGAATTAGAGGTAAGACAGAGAGTAGGACTGCGGATGAGCAAGGAAGTTTTAGAGTGGGTAGGGGATGTGTAGATCAAGTGTTTACATTGAAGCATATATGTGAACAGTATTTAGATAAAGGTAGGGAAGTTTCATTGCATTTATGGATTTAGATAAGGCATATGATACAGTGGATAGGGGAGCAATGTGGCAGATGTTGCAAGTACATGTATATGGAATAGGTAGTAAGTTACTAAATGCTGTAAAGAGTTTTTATGAGGATAGTGAGGCTCAAGTTAGGGTGTGTAGAAGAGAGGGAGATTACTTCCTGGTAAAAGTATGTGTAATGTCACCATGGTTGTTTAAGATGGGGTTGTAAAAGAAGTAAATGCTAGGGTGTTCGGGAGAGGGGTGGGATTAAATTATGGGTAATCAAATACAAAATGGGAGTTAACACAGTTACTTTTTGCTGATGATACTGTGCTTATGGGAGATTCTAAAGAAACGTTGCAAGGGTTAGTGGACGAGTTTGGGAGGGTGTGTATAGGTAGAAAGTTGAAAGTGAACATATAAATAAGAGTAAAGTGATGAGGGTATCAAATTATTTACATAAAGAAAAATTGGATATCACATTGGAGAGAAGGAGTATGGAAAGAGTGAGTGTTTTCAGATACGTATTTAGGAGTTGATGTGTCAGCAGATGGGTTTACAAAGGATCAGGTTAACCATAGAACTGATAAAGGAAAAAAGGCGAGTGGTGCATCAAGGTACATGTGGAGGAAAAAAAAACATTACCCATGGAGGCAAAGAAGGGAATGTATGAAAGTATAGTTGTACCAACACTCTTATATGGGTGTGAAGCTTGGGTTGTAAATGCTGCAGCGAGGAGGCTGTTGGAGGCAGTGGAGATGTCTTGTCTAAGGGCAATGTGTGGTATAAATATTATGCAGAGAATTCAGAGTGTGGAAATTAGGAGGTGTGGAGTTAATAAAAGTATTAGTCAGAGGGCTGAAGAGGGGTTGTTGAGGTGGTTTGGTCATCTAGAGAGAATGGATCAAAGTAGAATGACATGGAGGGCGTATAAATCTGTAGATGAAGGAAGGCGGGGTAGGGGTTTTCCTCAAAAAGGTTGGAGGGAGGAGGTAGAGGAGGTTTTGTGGGCGAGGGGCTTGGACTTACAGCAAACATGCGTGAGCGTGTTAGATAGAAGTGAATGGAGACGAATGGTTTTTGGGACCTGATGAGCTGTTGGAGTGTGAACAGGGTAATATTTAGTGAAGGGATTCAGGGAAACTGGTTATTTTTATATAGCTGGACTTGAGCACTGGAAATCAGAAGTACAATGCCTGTATTTTACAGGAGGGGTTTAGGATATTGGCAGTTTACCTGGAGAGAGTTCCGGGGGCCAATGCCCCAGCGGTCCGGTCTGTGACCAAGGCCACCTGGTGGATCAGAGCCTGATCAACCAGGCTGTTACTGCTGGCTGCACACAATCCAATGTACGAGCCACAGCCCGGCTGGTCAGGTACCGACTTTAGGTGCTTGTCCAGTGCCTGCTTGAAGACAGCCAGGGGTCTATTGGTAATCCCCCTTATGTATGCTGGGAGGCAGTTGAACAGTCTCGGGCCCCTGACACTTATTGTATTGTCTCTTAACGTGCTAGTGACACCCCTGCTTTTCATTGGGGGGATGTTGCATCGTCTGCCAAGTCTTTTGCTTTCGTTGTGAGTGATTTTCGTGTGCAAGTTCGGTACTAGTCCCTCTAGGATTTTCCAGGTGTATATAATCATGTATCTCTCCCACCTGCATTCCAGGGAGTACAGGTTCAGGAACTTCAAGCACTCTCTGTAATTGAGGTGTTTTATCTCCGTTATGCGTGCTGTGAAGCTTCTCTGTACATTTTCTAGGTCAGCAATTTCACCTGCCTTGTAAGGTGTTGTTAGTGTGCAGCAATATTCCAGCCTAGATAGAACAAGCGACCTGAAGAGTGTCATCATGGGTTTGGCATCCCTAGTTTTGAAGGTTCTCATTATCCATCCTGTCATTTGTCTAGCAGATGGGATTGATACAATGTTATGGTCCTTGAAGGTGAGATCCTCCGACATGATCACTCCCAGGTCTTTGACGATGGTTTTTCACTCTATTTTGTGGAAGGAATTTTTTTTGTACTCTGATGGAGTTTTAATTTCCTTATGTTTACCATATCGGAGTAATTGAAATTTCTCATCGTTGAACTTCATATTGTTTTCTGCAGCCCATTGAAAGATTTGGTTGATGTCCGCCTGGACCCTTGCAGTGTCTGCAATGGAAGACACTGTCATGCAGATTTGAGTGTCATCTGCAAAGGAAGACACGGTGCTGTGGCTGACATCCTTGTCTATGTCAGATATGAGGATGAGAAACAAGATGGGAGCGAGTACTGTGCCTTGTGGAACAGAGCTTTTCATCGTAGCCGCCTCAGACTTTACTCTGTTGACTACTACTCTTTGTGTTCTGTTTGTGAGGAAATTATAGACCCATCGACCGACTTTTCCTGTTATTCCTTTAGCACGCATTTTGTGTGCTATTACGCCATGGTCACACTTGTCGAAGGCTTTTGCAAAGTCTGTGTATATTACATCTGCATTTTTTTTTGTCTTCTAGTGCATCTAGGATCTTGTCGCAGGACAAGATCCTAGATGCACTAGGAGCGACCTGCTCTAAACCCATGTTGCCCTGGGTTGTGTAATTGATGGGTATCTAGATGGGTGGCAATCTGCTTCTTAGGATCCTTTCAAAGATTTTTTATGATATGGGATGTTAGTGCTATCGGTCTGTAGTTCTTTGCTATTGCTTTACTGCTCCCTTTGAGGAGTGGGGCTATGTCTGTTGTTTTTAGTAACTGTGGAACGACCCCCGTGTCCATGCTCCCTCTTTATAGTATGATAAAAGCATGTGATAGGGGCTTCTTGCAGTTCTTGATGAACACAGAGTTCCATGAGTCTGGCCCTGGGGCAAAGTGCATGGGCAAGTCATTGATCGCCTGTTTGAAATCGTTTGGCATCAGGATAACATCAGATAGGCTTGTGTTAACCAAGTTCTGTGGCTCTCTCATAAAAAATTTATTTTGATCTTCGACTCTCAGCCTGGTTAGCGGCTTGCTAAAAACTGCGTCATATTGGGACTTGAATAGCCCACTCATTTCCTTGCAGTCATCTGTGTAGGACCCATCTTGGTTAAGTAGGGGCCCAATACTGGATGTTGTTCTCAACTTTGATCTGGCATAAGAAAAGAAATACTTTGGGTTTCTTTCGATTTCATTTATGGCTTTTAGTTCTTCCCGCAATTCCTGACTCCTATAAGATTCCTTTAGCTTAAGTTTGATGTTTGCTATTTCTCTGAGAGATATGTTACATATCTTTACATGTGCTTCTAAACTGTTGTATCTGGGTGCCTCTGCAAAAACAGTGATTATGTATGAGTAAGGTGAAAGTGTTGAATGATGGTGAAAGCTTTTTTGGGGGGATTTTCTTTCTTTTTGGGTCACCCTGCCTCGGTGGGAGATGGCTGACTTGTTAAAAATAAAAATAATAATAATAATAATAATAATAATAATAATAGCAATAATAATAATAATAATAATAATAATAATAATAATAATAATAATACAGTACTTAGTATTAATACTTATAATGAAAAACACATAGACAGACTTATGAAAAAAAGGTGAAGAATCTACAAAACAATACCATATGTACTATGATTACTACAAAAGCATACATTACTTAATGAAAGCAACCCATTAAAGAAAGTGGAAATATTCAGCCCCAGAGAAAAAGAAAATATGTTATGATAAATGTGTTAGGAATAATATCAAGGCAGAAACCATTACCATGCACTACCCTACCATTAATTTATACTATACTCACAAGCGGTGCAGCTTCCGAAGCTAAGCAATCTGTAATAAAAACCATAATTAACATTTACATACCAGTAACCATAGCAATATATCTGCTAGTGTATGATACTGATAATACAGTACGTAAATGAGCCGTCTACTACTTCAGTTTATGAAATTCCAAAATTTTATCACAGTGTATAGTCATTTTTATCACAGTGTATTTCACACAAAATAACACACAGAAAATGTGCAGGTTAATGATTGTTGAGTTAATGGTGAAATTATGTAGAGTTTAGTTTGTTAGAAAGTAATAAAAATATTATAGACAATGCAGCTTTTAAATGGTGCTAAGCTAATGTGCTCTCCAGAGACAGGTGTAAATGCCATTGTTCCTCTTCCTTGGATTGAATCTGACTGTCTCTCATTTCCCAGATTCTGTATGATTCTTATGAATTTAATGTTTCCAACTAAATGCAATAAAAGACCCTAGACACCTCATGTAACTGCCATTTAAACAGCCTTTAACAAGATGTTAACTACCCGGCTGCCAGCTGGGTAGTTAACTATGTTGGGTCAGATTAGTTAATTAATGTTGGGTCAAGTCACCATACAAATGTATGTTAATTTAGATACAGGCACACATAAGTACAATTATTATATATGATAATATATGTTTAAATTACCCAGAATAATCTAAAAAAAAAAAGTCAGACAAACTGACTTATTTCCACTTGGATCCTTGTGTTTCTGATCACAGTCTATCACTGTTATATAACAGTAGTACTTGGCAATTAGTAAGCCCAGATGCCAGGAAAATATTCACTTATCAAACATACTGTTAGCTGAAACATATATATAGTAAACAAATAAAGTTTTTAAAAGTTTTCATACATCAGGATGAACTCAGACTTCGTCTAGCCGACATTTGGTCATTCTACCCTCCCTCCCCCCAACAAAATATTTAAAAAACGCAACATTTCTCTTTCAAATGTACACCATGAACCTCTGCACTGAAATTCTACCAAAAACAGTGTCTGCTGTAATGGTGTTTTTCACCTGTTCACTGCAGCGTGAGTCATACTAAGTCATTATGTCACAGCACATCCCGGTTCACCAGTCCACCTCACCACTGCCTGGTACCCAGTACAAAGCAGCTAAAGTCTCTGCGACTTACACCTGCAATAAGAATCGCCCTCCTAGATTATATATATCTATATATATACACACAGTGGTGCCTTTTTTGTCCTTGTAGGTGTGCTAAATCAGCCGAGGAGAGAGAGTGTGATTGTTGTTGTTGTTGTTGGGTTAAAGTGGTTGTGACGTCTTTAAGACCGTAATGAATCCTTTTGTCAAGATATTATATTATGCTATATTTAGGGAAAAGCGCTAAATTCGTAGGAGTTTTGCAGCACCGGAGAAATGAGAGTCAATCGGGTTTGGGCCAAGGAAGGAGATGACAAACCCAATTTCTCGAATCAAGAGCTCCTCGTCATCACTCGAGGACGACGATTCCGGCATCACTTACTGAAGGTTCCACTCAGAAAGTAATAAAATTTAAGGTTTATTTAAACTTTAAAATAAACGAAGTCAACTGGTAGAGCTTATTTCCATTAGGATCTTTTCTTAGGATGTGACCCAGAAAGCCCACTGAATGTATTAGATCATTCTGTATATACGAAGGTAGAGCCCTCAAGACTATAGCAATATATATTTTTATATATTATCTACCCAAACTCTAAATGAAAACTTACTCACAAACCCATAAACCTGGCCCCCATATACATAAATGATACAAGAAAAGTATCTCTTTATCTCATAATTCCAGGCCCTCTACTTCAATGGTCTGTGAAAAGTATTTTTGTATCTCATTATCCTGGCCCCCTCCACTTCCTTCCGCGGAAGAAGGAGCTGCAGCTAAACTCCCGTAAGATAAGATAAGATATGATTTCGTTCGGATTTTTAACCCCGGAGGGTTAGCCACCCAGGATAACCCAAGAAAGTCAGTGTGTCATCGAGGACTGTGGCCTGGTGGCTAAAGCTCCCGCTTCACACACGGAGGTCCCGGGTTCGATTCCCGGCGGGTGGAAACATTTCGACACGTTTCCTTACACCTGTTATCCTGTTCACCTAGCAGCAAATAGGTACCTGGGTGTTAGTCGACTGGTGTGGGTCGCATCCTGGGGGACAAGATTAAGGACCCCAATGGAAATAAGTTAGACCGTCCTCGATGACGCACTGACTTTCTTGGGTTATCCTGGGTGGCTAACCCCCCGGGGTTAAAAATCCGAACGAAATCTTATCTTATCTTAACTTATTTCCATTGGGGTCCTTAATCTTTTCCCCAGGATGCGACCCACACCAGTCGACTAACACCCCGGTACCTATTGCTGCTAGGGGAACAGGCAACAGGTGTAAAGGAACGTGTCGAATGTTTCCACCGCCGGAATCGAACGGGGTCGTGTCGTGAGCGGGGCTTTAGCCACCAGCCACCGGGCCACCGTAGGAGTCCCAGGAAATACAGTTACACCCTCCGAGAGGGTCCAGGAGCTGGATTTTAGTTTAATTGTGCCGTCTTGGCGGATAGTTAATTGAACACTCACAGATCATCCTGTGAGCGGTAGCGCAAAATAATATGATTACAGAGATCACAATTGGTCTTGGTCAGACCCCACTGAGCATTGTTACATCACTAGAGAAAATATTAATCATTTCGTATTTTACAATTACTTCATAGAGTTGTTGTACACAGCACAGTAAGGAATACTATCTAAAAAAATGTATATCTTATCATCATTGAAAAAGTAATAATAACTGGGTGGCAGCCTTTATTAAGACAGTTTGTTCATCTAGTCGATGCAAAATGTGGATACAACATCAAGACTTCAAATATCTTATTAACAGTGAAGTGTTTTGCCATATCCTGTAAGGTCTGCATGGAGGTGTTTCTGAAAAGTGAGATGACTCTAAGATATAGTGCTCCAGTGTACAGCTCTGTCTTTGTCCACACATAGCATCTTGTCATTGGCATCTCTTTACAAACCGTACTGCCAGAGATATTTATAGCCTAGCCTTAGTCTAGAAGTAGCAATACCTTGCGATCTACTGACCTTGTTATTTTCTCCTAAAATATGCTTAACCTGACATTTTATTGTGATGGATAAACAATTGATCTGCTATTTCCTATAAGATAAGATAAGATTTCGTTCGGATTTTTAACCCCGGAGGGTTAGCCACCCAGGATAACCCACGAAAGTCAGTGCGTCATCGAGGACTGTCTAACTTATTTCCATTGGGGTCATTAATCTTGTCCCCCAGGATGCGACCCACACCAGTCGACTAACACCCGGGTACCTATTTGCTGCTAGGTGAACAGGACAATAGGTGTAAGGAAACGTGTCGGAATTTCCACCCGCCGGGAATCGAACCCGGGCCCTCCGTGTGTGAAGCGGGAGCTTTAGCCACCAGACCACCGTTTCCTAGTTTTTTCTGACAATACTTTTTAAACTTATATTTGAGAAACCAAAATTACATTCGCATTCTCTTTATTTAATGCTTGTTTCTAACCAGATATAAACATGTAAAGAGTTCATTACCACTCTAAATTGTTTATCTGTCACAACTTTGTGGCCCAGTTCCCGTCGTCGTAGCCCTTAAAAAGCAACAACAAAAGTGCTGAAAATAACTTATCCTGTAGAGGCCCTTATTACCACCAACAACACTGTAACAACAGCAGAATGCTGAGTGGACCAACATCGAGTGTGTGGGACTTATGCGCCAGCCTTGATGGTATGCGGACTTCTCGCTCTTACCTGAACATTGGGGACAAATTCTTTTTACCCCTTCCGTTCTCCCTGGGACGTTTGTCCTCATCTTATTCTGCCTGCTTGGCTTACTAGAAGTGAAGCACCGTCCATCACCCCATTTTTCCGCTCTGCTAAAATTTAATGGTTTTGGTTGGCATCCGGTTACTGGACTCAGGTGAGGGTGAAGGTGTCCTTCTCTGCTGGGGCTTAAGGAAGAAAGTCCACAAGAAGTAGATGGAGTGTGAAGGAACCTCTAAGCATACTCCACGTATCCTGAAGCAGCGAGAAGCATGGAGTGTCGAAGAAAAGAGCAATGTCCAAAGAAGGACAAGATGTGGACACACCTCCAAAGCCTGCACAGACGCCTGAGTTGAAGTGTAAGATGTGAGTTAGGTTTATACACTATAGACTGCACGAAGGTCATTAAGGTTATTACTCACCAAGTACTGCTGATTTTGGTACATCAAAACTCAGTTTATATATACATGTAAATATGTATTCTCGGTATAAGTAAGTTTGTTTAGGTACAGGTGCACATAAGTACAATTATCATACATGGTTTAACATATATGTAAATTACCTAGAATAACCCAGAAAAGTCAGACACAATGACTTATTTCCAGAGGCTGCATTTTTTCCAGACATGATGTTACTAGGTATCCCTGAAGAGAAACCTATAAGAGGTTGCCTAATTTTTTCCCTCCATCTTTTCGATTTTAATTTGCTTATAACCTGAGAATGCCTCATCCATTCTGCTTCGAATTCTGAACACTCGTGTACGGTAATGAGGACCAAATTCCTGGAACAACTGACACGTCTACGTGCCCCATGACTAAAGTTGTTCAACCCATTCCCAACATCTTGAAATGGTTCGAATGACTTGTAAAACCCCCAGTGGCGTAGCTTCAAATATTAAAAAAAAAACAAGAGCTTAAAAATTTGACGACAGTGATATTCAAATGCGTTAGTGCGGATTTGACCATTGTACTCACATAGTTGTGGTTGCAGGGGTCGATACTCAGCTCCTGGCTGCGCCTCTTCACTGATCGCTATGAGGTCCTCTCTCTGCTCCCTGAGCTTTGTCATGCCATGTGTTAAAGCTATGTATGGTTCCTGCCTCCACTACATCCTTTGCTAGACTATTCCACTTCCTGACAACTATATGACTGAAGAAATACTTCCTAACATCCCTGTGATTCTTGTTTCTGTGTCCCATCTCTGGAACATCCTGTCTCTGTCCACCTCATCTATTCCACACAGTATTTTGTACATTGTTATCATGTCTCGCCTAACCCTCCTGTCTTCCAGTGTCGTCAGGCCGATTTCCCTTAACCTTTCTTCATAGGACATTCCCCTTAGCTCTGGAACTAACCTTGTTGCAAACCTTTGCACTTTCTCTAATTTCTTGACGTGCTTGACCAGGTGTGGGTTCCAAACTGGTGCTACATACTCCAGTATGGGCCTGACGTACAAGGTGTACAGTGTCTTGAACGATTCCTTACTAAGGTATCGGAATGCTATTCTCAGGTTTGCCAAGCGCCCATATGCTGCAGCATTTATCTGTAAAGTAAAAGGACACAAGTGCAACTAATGTGACATTTTATTGTGTCCTTTTACTTTACATATTGTCGGTAATTTTACCAACATTATTACAAGCATTTATCTGGTTGATGTGTGCTTCCGGAGACGTGCTTGGTGTTATGCTCACCCCAAGTTCTTTCTCCTTGAGTGAGGTTTGCAGTCTTTGTCCACCCAGCCTATATTCTGTCTGCAGTCTTCTTTGCCCTTCCCCAGTCTTCATGACTTTGCATTTGTCGGGGTTGAATTCAAAGAGCCATTTGCTGGACCATATGTCCAGCCTGTCCAGGTCTCTTTGTAGTCCTGCCTGATCCTCGTAATTACCTCATTAACTTTACATCATCTGTGAACAGGGACACTTCTGAGTCTATCCCTTCCATCATGTCATTCACATATACCAAAAATAGCACTGGTAATAGGACTGCCCCCTGGGGGACCCCGCTGGTTTACCTGGAGTTTACCTGGAGAGAGTTCCGGGGGTCAACGCCCCCGCGGCCCGGTCTGTGACCAGGCCTCCTGGTGGATCAGAACCTGATCAACCAGGCTGTTACTGCTGGCTGCACGCAAACCAATGTACGAGCCACAGCCCGGCTGATCAGGATCCGACTTTAGGTGCTTGTCCAGTGTCAGCTTGAAGACTGCCAGGGGTCTGTTGGTAATCCCCCTTATTTTCACAAGCCTATCCGATGTTATCCTGACGCCAAATGACTTCGAACAGGCGATAAATGACATGCCCATGCACTCTGCCCCAGGGCCAGACTCATGGAACTCTGTGTTCATCAAGAACTGCAAGAAGCCCCTATCACGAGCCTTTTCCATCCTTGGAGAGGGAGCATGGACACGGGGGTGTCCCTCAGTTACTAAAAACAAAGACATAGCCCCACTCCACAAGGGCAGTAAAGCAACAGCAAAGAAAATACAGACCAATAGCACT